CGGCGAGGGAGCACGTGAGAAAGCTAATTCCAGCCGCACAAAGGGTATTTTCGTACCAACTTGAAAGTCGATTTGGAAAACCAGACTTGTGGGTGTAGAAGGTCTCAACTGAATGCCATTCCATGTATCCATGCAGTAAGTGCTATTCATTTTCAAGTTTAATACATTGAGTATTTCATACATCCATACTATAGAACATAGACCTATAACATGCCTTATGCATATACTATAGTGCACAATGCACTTAAAGGAGAAAAGATGGAGAAAGACATGATATGCCCTCTATTGCCGCCTAAGGATTGAAAAGCAACTGCTAGGCCCCACTAGAGTAGGAGAATGGAACCTGATGAGGTTCAAGCTAAACGAAATAGATAAAAAAATGTTGTGTCTAGAGTGGTAACCCCGACCAATACTATCAAAAGGCAACAAACATTGTTGAAGTACAATGTCTGCCATGTGGAAGGCCACAACAAGAGAGAATGCCTTATGATGAAGTAATGTAATGTAGAGCCTGTAGCCACTAGTTTAGAAGACAAACCTCAAAAGCTGAAAGTACTTTTAGAATGTTGCATTAAGTTTGATAAGAACTTCAACTTCAGTTAAGATTTTTGGTCAATAAAAAATGTTTCTTTATTCAAGGTAAAAGGATGACATACAAGGCTCCTGCAATAGGAATTTCTACTCAAGATAGTGTTGTAACTGTAAGTAACTTATGCTTTTCATTGAATTTATTTTCTAAAACAAGGGTATTTATGTTTAAACTTATGTTGCAGGATCAAGGTCAAGCCATGAAGAAAAGAAAGGGATGAAAAATATCAATCAAGAGACCCACATTTCATTCAAGCACCTTCGATATATTTGCAATATACATATGTGTCCGCTCAACAGGTCCAACTTCTGAAGTGAATATTAGAAGGCCTCTTATGTTTTCAGCGGGACAATTTATACCTAGTCAAGAAAGTTGTATTTCATAAAGGAACACTGGGCTCAAAGAAATATTTGGAGGACACAAGCACATATATGTGTCTGCCTTTATGTTAGGCCTAAACAGTCCAAAGAAAACTGGTGAAAAATGGAAGGGAAAATTATTATGATGTCTGATGATTTATTTTATTCTTTTGTTGATGATTTTTTTTTTTTAAACTTGATGCATGGTGATGCTAAAAGTTGTGGATGGTGGAAAATTTTGATGCTGTTTTGATTGGTTTATGGTGAATGGTTATGGTGAATGAACATTTTTAAGTTGTTGTGATGTAAGGGTGAATGGTGACTGATGATTTTGAAGCTGGTTAGGTTGAACGATGATTGGATATTTTCGATATGAAGTTGTGATGTAATATTTATTGCTTTAACATTTGTTAGTGGAGAAGTTAAGATTCGATATTAAGCAGTTAAGATGATGTTTGCAATGTTATAGCTCCTTTGAAGTGATGTATTCTTTCATATTTGGTTCATCTTTGCTTTTTTGGTTATTTTAGTTGATGGTTGATCTGAATTGGTTGTGAAAAACTTTTCAATTTTGGTGAATTGAATATTTGATTTCTCTAGTTTTCGTCTACTATCTTAGGGTATTTTCTAATCGTCTCTCTCTAAAAATTGATAATCCCTAATTTTTTTCTGCCGTGACCTATGCTTCTTCTTCTTCGGGTGCGCCTCCCTTCCGGTGGACCCAGTTATAGTGCGATTGGCGAGCATCAGGCTCAGGCCAAGTTCGTTGGCTCGGGCGTGGTTGTTGCTCGCTCTTCCCTCCCCGTCATGGTTCCGCTTTTGTTGCCGAAGCGCCATGGCGGGAGAGCTCAAGATGGGAAGCGCCAGGCGTGGTGGCCGACGGTTGCTGCGAGTGTCCATGGAGGCTTGTAGTGGCGGTCCGACCTTGGTCTGCCCTTTTTCCGACCTCATCTGGTGCTGGGTTGGTCAGGACCTCCGGCGGTTGTGGCTTTTTGTCAATCGACCCCGGAGTTGGCGTGGGGGCATTGTGGTGGTGGACTGACCTCGAGTGAGTTGCGAGTCAGGGAGTAGGCTTCATATCTGGATCCGGTGTGGCCTGTCGGTATTGCGGTTTATTCCTTGATTTGCATCTCGATGTTTATTCGGTTGTGTTGGCGCTGTGGTTGGTGTCTGGTGGGAAGGGCATAGATTTTCTTAGCTTTGCCTGTATTGTGTGTTTTTTTGTTGTGTGTTGCATTGTGGTGTTTATTGTAGTTTGTGTTTTTTCGGTTCTCCTGATTAGGAGCTTCTCCTCTTATGGGAGTTTGTTGTAGTTTGTGTTTTTCGGATCTCCCAGTTGGGAGCTTCTCTTCTTGTGGGAGTTTCTTTCTCCTCTGGTGGGAGTTTGTGGTGTTTTTCGAGTGTTGTATTTTGTTCTTGTGTTGGGTAGGTAGATTCTAAACTACACTGTGTGTAGCTCTCCCTACTAGGTTCAGCTGGTTGGCTGGTTTCTCAGAATTCAAGATGATGTTTATCATGTTATGACTCCTTGTTTTGAAGTGATGTATTCTTCCATATTTGTTTTATCTTTGCAATTTTGGTTGTTTTAACTGATAGTTGATCTCAACTGCCATATGTAAAGCTTTCCATTTTTCACTTTGTACATGTCCATACAAACATTACTTGATAAGTATGTGAATTCAGAAAACTCTCCACTTTATAAGAATTCAGTAAACAAGATAAGAAAATTCCACATTTGCGAGCACACGATTCATTTCATAAAAACACATAAAATCAAAACAATACAACTGCAATGAATAAACAACTTAGTTCTCATAATTCTATCCATCATAAATAACTTAGTTCTCATAATTCTATGCATTATCAACTTCATTTGAGAATCAAATTTCCCATTGCAAGTGTTCATCTCTTCTTCAAGCATTGTAATTTTCTTTTTCAAAACTTTCTGTTCAGCCTCAAACAGAACAATCCACATTTCAAATTCTCGTTTCAAATAACCCATAATTTGATTATTCATACCATATAATCTTTCTGAGTTAATTTGGGATGTTGGTCTAGCCCACATGGAAAAACCGCAACCTCCTTGCTTTCAGTCCTTACAGTCAAGTAACTTTTTGCTAGGATCTGAACTCATCTATGAAGTCCTCAGTTGGGCCCTTCACTCAACAACAGCAGAACACGTCAGACGAAGAAGAAAATGAAGATGTCGACATCTTTTTGCTTCTCCTTCAGTATTTATGATAATTTAATGCAATGATTGAACTTGAATTTGCGGTGATACCTTAACGTTGAGCGGGGGTTCGGCTACCAAGGTAGGTAATACTCGGATAGGGTCAGCCTATCAAATGAGGTTAGGACTAAGGCTAGAAACGTCCTCGAGTCACTTAACGAGGTCATAGAAGAACCATGGCCCATACCTTAATGATTAGGAAAACAAGCAAAAGAAACACACTTGAAAGTTCGAACAAGACTGGAAAGGACAGGGATAAGGGGACAACCGAACGCTGCTTTATCATACATCTTTTTGTGAGTCTAACTGGTGGTTAATTGGGGTGGCGCGAAATCCGACTCTAACCGCGTGCGCGCTCGACAAGAAGGAGGGGAATAGTTTCCCCCCTTCTTGGACCTTCCCCCCTTCCCCCACTCGCTCGCTTCTTGGAATAAAGCTCGCTTCCTCCTATTCGGGATACTTACCCAAGTATCCCTTCACTCCATTGCTTACGATTTCTATTTTCAAACGAAGCCCAACTTCTTACGTCTTTTTTTCTTCGATTTTGTCAGATTTTACTCTAGATTAGAATTCTCTCTCTCTTTTTCTTTTGTTTTGTTATTTGAAATAGTTTTTCGCATACATAATTATTTATGTTTTTATTATATGACTTATCACGGGTCACTACAAAAAAAAACTCTTACATTTCAATGGAAATTTTCCGTTGGTATTTTTTATATTTTCGTTGGAATATCTATTCCAACGGATATTCCTACGTATAAAAATCCTTTGGAAAAACGGCCTTTGGAATAGCAAATATCCAACGGAAAATCCTATGGAAATAAATTCCTACAGCTATTCCAACGGAAAAAATCCGTTGAAATTCCTCAACTATCCAACATAAAATTAAGTTTGTTGGAATATTCATTGGAATTTTCAACAGAAAATTTTGCCGTTGGAATTTTTCGTTGGAATTGTAGTATTTTTTTGTAGTGGGTTAACATTTTAAAAGAATAAAAATAATAATAAAAAAGAACACAATCAACTTGTTTTTTGTTTTGTTTTTTTCATTTCATGTTGGTATTATATATATTAATTGAAGCTGTTCTATTGTTACATTTTAATTTCAATATAATATGCAGTGGATTATTTGTTAATAATAAACATAAATATGATACTAAAAATTTCCAAAATAAAAAATTTGGCGTAAATTCAAAATTAAATTATATTTATCGTCACTTATTACTATATATTTCGTCAAAATATTATATTAAAATACATACAAAAAAAAAAAACAATTTTTTAAAAATAAAAAAACCATAAATTACAGCTCATTAAATCCAACTAACAAAGTTTGAAAACTATCACATTTATTAGAAATAACACAAACTTTGTCAACACAAATTGTCTTAAACAAATTTATATTTCACCTCAAAGTGTACGAATTTTTTCGAAATTGCAAAGACTAACTAAAAGAAAATTAAAACTAATTAGCCAATTAGCAAATTTTCAGCAGTCAACAATTAGAAAAAAAAAATGATAACAGAAAATTTTTTCACGTTACATTCACAAAAGTCGTCCCCCCCAAAACCAAAAACAATGCAACACAAAATTACCAAATTGACCTCAATCCTGTTGTTAACCAAGCAGGCTCATGTGCTCCCATTAATGACTATAATGCCTTTCATGGCTATAAATACTGGACTCGTTTGTGTAGCAACACTCACACCATATACTTTCCTAGCTAAGGTATAAAACCACTTTACATATGCACATGCATTTTTGCTCTCCTTGTTCATTTGATGTTGTTTAACATCTTTTGTTAGCAGGCATGAAGGTCCAAATGCATGGCCAAACGCTATCTTGCTCGACCGTGTTCAAAGTCGTTTGCCTTTACTTGGCGATTCAAATCGGGACGAGCTCAGCGCAAGGATGGAACTGCCCTTTCAACTATTTATACCATTGGGGTGATGGGGTCACCGACATCGGCAACTCCATTTACGTGCTCCCGAGAATCACTATCCCGGCCGGGCGAAAGCCGTACGGCATGACCTATCCCGGTTATCCTACTGGCCGTTGGTCGGACGGCCTTGTCGATTTCGACTACAGTGGTATGACAAATATGTACATATATGACAAGTAATTAACCATACTAAGTACACATCTCACATGGTAATCGAGCCTAAATAAATGTCAACTCAAAGCAAAATAAAATTTTTGTGGTCTAATCAAAATTATAAAGCGTGATTTGGTGTACAAATTAACTCACTTTTGACAATGGTACTTATGTTACCGTTAGTTAAATTATTATGTACATTTACTTGGTTACAAACTTACAAATGGTTATACATGTAATCTGCAGCTCAGGATTTAGGACTGCCAAATATTCAACCATATTTTAACATGAATCAATCGAACGCGGCCAACTATGACGGGGTCATATTCTCAGTGGCAAGAAGCCCAGTGCTCGACCGCAAATTCTTTCGAGAACGCAACATTGTTATTCCACGATATGCTGTTTCTCTTAGCCAACAAATTCGTAGGTTTAAAAGACATCTCACATATGTTTGCAACTCACCATCCGGTAGGTAACTAAAACAGTAATATATAGCAGCAGTAGTAATAATACTAAATTTTACCTAATTTATCTAACCTAGCTAACTTGACTTGACTCGACTGGGCTCGTTGTTTGCTTTCCTTTGCTAACTTTTCATTAGTGTTACATCTTATTAGAATGTTCGGAATGGATTGGAAACTCTCTGGCTTTGATGGGCGACATTGAAGGCAATGACATTGGCTACGCGTTGACTCAAGGAAAGACTATCGAGGAAGTGAAGACCTACGTGCCGGTTATAGTGAAGGCTCTTATTGATCGATCGAGGGTAATAATAAAAGAAACCAACAACATTAAGTTTCGTCGTATTTTACCATACGACCATAATATATGATCGAATTTCAAGAATATCATCCACAAGAGTCAGTCCATTGACATATTAACTCGTGTCCAAATGTATAACATAAATATTATGTAATTCCTCTTTTTACTTGAACAAAAACAGGAGATTATAAAATTAGGTGCTAAGCGAATGATCATTCCTGGAAACGGACCCCTCGGATGCTACCCTTACATTTTGACCGAGCTAAAATCGAACAACCCAAAGGATTATGACGAGCTCGGGTGTTTGGCCACAGTGAACAATTTCACAGTTTGGAAAAATAACTATCTCCTAAATGCCATGGTAACGCTCGAAAATGAATTTCCGGACGTGCAGATACTTTACGGCGACATGTATACTGGCCTCCGGACACTTATTGTCAATTCAACAGTCATAGGCAAGTTTCTCCTTTTATTATCATCATTATTAACATACCTTTAGGTTATTTTTGATCCACTTAAGATTCTATCTTTGTTAACTTATATTTTAACAGGGCCCGACGGAGTAAACCGTGCATTAAAATCATGTTGTGGGATCGGAGGGAAGTACAACTTCGACCGAAAGAGATTTTGTGGCGACAAGGGAGTACCCGTTTGCTCCAACCCGAAAGATTACGTATTTTGGGACGGTATGCATTACACACAAGAGGGTCAAATGAGGGTCGAGAAGTCGTTGATCTTTGACGCTCTTGCGACGCTCAATTGCACGCCACCCGACACTACAGTTCCGTACTTGGGCAGCTGGGCTACTACTTATATGCGGGCTTCGCACTATCTGGCTAGCATGTGATAATCGTCTTCAAGCATTGTGGCTCATGAGTTGATGGTTCACCTTTGGTTTCATGAATGTTGTTCAATAAAGTTGAAACTCCTAAGCCAGAATAATAAACAGTGGCTCTGTGGTTGGTTATTTTTCTGAGTGTTCTGTTGTAATGTGTGTGGCAAGAGCTGCAAGGTTTAGTGTTTTCAACACTCTTCATCATCAACAAAAGAGCTTTCACTTCACTTTCATGTTTTCGACTTTTATGTCCTTTCTGTACAATAATTTGCTGGCACGCGATTATTCACATACATTCATCTTTATTACATACATTCACATCCCAAAGAGGAAAAGAAAAAGAGAAAAAAAAAAAGATCGGGCGGGATCAAGACTACAAACTCAAAACTGCACTTTCCGATATTCATAAATCTAGCTAAGACCGAACTCTCGGCCTTTGCTTAGCTCTCCTCCGAGCCCTCTCCTCCAACCGTCGAATGCATTGCTAAATGCAGGGCCGTCCCCAGAAATTTGGAGGCCCCAGACAAATTTTAACTTCTCGAATTTCCCAATTTTAATTTTCGTGGTAAGGCTATTTGTAGATAGAATTATACAAGAAAAAAAATTAATTAAACAAAACTATTAAATAAATAAATAATTGAATAAAAAATAGTTTTTCTTATTCTTCTAGACATTGGAAAAATTACCTTTAATAAATTATAAATTGTACTCAAGCAATACCACAAGAAGGAGAAATAAAAATCATATTAGCAAAAAATATTTATTCTCACACAACTTGTTATCCCTGAACATCATAAGAAAAAAACAATAAAATTTTTAGGGCCTCAAATTCCTACACAAAGTACATATTCGCTATTATCCTCTTCATTAACTAGTCACTTCATTTGTGTAATGGACCCCAAGTTCATATTTACCTATTAGTCTCTTTATTTGCAAAAGGGAAATAAACAAAACCAAATACAAATACTTAAACATTAAAAAAAAAAAAAATGAGGCCCCTAATAATTGGAGGCCCTAGGCATGAGCCTATGGTGCCTCCCCTCTGGAGCCGGCACTGGCTAAATGTGTTCAAATGTAAACCAAA